TGATCTTCTTGGTTTAACTTTGTTAGTATTTTTTTAAATTCTTAAAAATTTTACATATTATTTTCTTTTATGTGTATGAGTGCATTGCCTGCATGTATGTAAGTGTACCCATGTCTTGCAGTGCCCACCGAGGTAAGAAGAGGGCTTCAGATCCCCAACCCTGAAGTTACAGATGAGTAACTATTTTTAATTCCATAAAACCAAGGAAAATTATGGAACAGAAGCACAGGTGCCATCAATTTTGCAATCTTTTATATGTGGTACCAGTTCTCAAATCAAATGATATTGTACAGTCAATATGATAGTTGGTCTACACTCTGTGAAAATAAATTCACACATAAAGCTAAAAGTAATATTACTTAATAGAAACTGTCAAGGATGATTGGATTTTTCTCAAAATTGTAGAAGAGAAAAAGACAAGTTTTCTAGACTTGACTTTATACAGATGAAGGTCTGTAAGTGTGTGTGGAAACCAGATGAAAATCAATAAAAGCAGTTGTTCCTGGAGAAAGGCTGAGATGGTCAACTGGAAATTTTGCTACAGACTATGATAACAGTAAATATTCAAACCTATCAGTTAGGCTCTGACTCTTTGAATAGGCCTGAATGATGGTGTATCTTCATATATGAAGGCTGAGTTCACTTTATAAGTCCCTCATAGCAATCATCTACAAGCCATTCTTCTTGGTGGGAAAGGCCGGTGTTTCTTAACTTACAGAGGTTGATATCTATTTCTGGAATGCTATTATTTTGTCTCCTGTATTTTCTTATGACTAGTTTGTCTAGAAAAGGTTTTTGAAGAATAATATAAGTCTTGTGTTTTCAATATTTATTTCCTTCATGAGGGTAACAGCTTCAGACATATTATATCATACGACTTCTCTCTAGTGGACAATGGGCTTCTTTCAGTCTAGTGTATGTGCACAATTGTCCATTTCAGTAAGCCACACAAAAATATCAATCACATTCTGGGTCTGGCCACTAAACCAAATTTTCTTTTAATACTTATTTCTAGCTATCACAATTATATTTTATTTTAAGTAATAACAAACACTATTCAAGTATTAGAAGAGTTCAGAAGATTTAACTACAACTTCAGCTGTGCTGTTCTATGTATGAGAATCTCCCAACTGACCTCCAACCTGTCCAGCTGCCTGCAAGTCCTGCAGATATCTCAAGAGATGCAGCTTTCCTGAATCATCAGCGATGGGGTTGGATATTTGATGATGCAGCTGCCTTTGAGGCATCCATGTTCCTATATGACAACCCTCACTCAAACTTATGAAATTAGCCACTATAGAGTCATTGATCTGCCATGTAGGACTTTTGTGAACATTATTATTAAGTCTGTCATTGATTTTATACCTGGGGTGATATGACCTTTCTTCATGTTTCCTCGCAAAATATCTGTGAACGCCCTTATTTATAAGCACCAACTCTAATATGTATGTTAGCCTTATAACCCTCTGTCTCAATTCTATGTTAATACTTTATAACGTCATAGTTGGAAAAATAGCTCTACATCGATAAGTTTTTTTTTTTTTTTTCCTGTCTTTTTGAGACAGGGTCCCCCAGTAGCCCCAGCTGGCCTGGAACTCACTATGTAGACCAGGCTACCCTTGACCTCACAGACATCCAACTGCCTCTGCCTCTCAAGAGCTGGGATTAAAGGTGTGTGTCACCATGCCCGGCCTTCAATTCAATGTTAATATACATTCACACACATATATAATAAAATGATTTATGTTGCTAGTAAGCCATATATTCATGTTTTCTAAAAATAAAAAATGATAAAATGCAGCATCTTGATCTACTCAAGATATTTTGTAACACTTTTTTACAATTTTGAAACATTTATACTTTACAAATATTGTTCCTTTAAATATAGAGATAACTCCAACTGGACAAATAAATATTTTTCATGTTTTCCTACCTTGTAGATTTTCTGCATTTTAAAAAGATGAGGCTCATATAAAACTTCACTTATCAGGGTACTTTCTAATCCATGAGACTTGTGTAAAATATATATTCATCTTCCCAATTGTGAAGTTAGAATTATCAAACATAATTTTCTTGTCCACAATAAACAATACATCATTCTTTGATCTATAATCTCCCATCTCATAGAACTATATGTAAAAAGCTTTATAAATATTATATATATACAATTTTTAGATGTTTTATGAATTGTGATTGCTGTTATCTTGTATTTTATAGTCTATTGTAACTTTCTTTGATTCATCTTTACTTTCTCTGTTTCCATCATCATTTTGTCTTACCAATCATCAAAATATATCCCATATTGTTGATTATCACAAGTGTTACCATAATAGCTCTTGTTTGAAATACCAGTGACTACTCTTCTTAATCAGAGTATCATTCCCTGCTTAACCTTTGTCACTTACATTATACATTCTTTAATTTTTTAAGATTTAAAGCAAAATTTTTATGTCTTGTGTATGAGTGTTTGGGATGCATTTGAGCTTATGTGCAAGCAGGGTCCAGAGGCCAGAGTGGGCAAAGACTCTGCATAGAATGGACTGTAGGACAGGTCTTAGCTGTCATATTGGTACTGGAAATGGACCTGTGTCCCTGGAAGGACAGGAAGTGCTCTTAACCACTGAGCTAACTTTCCAGTCCCTTACTTTTGATTTTCCGTGCTTAAGAACTTAGTATATTATTTTAAAAAACCTCCCAAAGTTAATATATTATTACATTTGAGAGAGTTTTCTGGTATGTAGATAATTTGGCATTTTCTTCATTCATATCAAAAGTCCCTACACATGTTTATTGGACTCAGCATGATCTAGTCTACTTTTCTAGAGAAAAGGAGATTGTAGTTCTCCTTCCTGTCTTTGTAACAGTTTGACCTATCATATTATTTTCTGAATTATCCAGGGTATTTTCCACTGCTGGGACTTGAGGCTACACCCTCTTTCTAGACATTTCTTCTTTTAGAAATGACAGTGAAAGCTCAGATCCTTATATTTTACTTTGTTTCTCTTTAACTATTTATTATAACACTTATACATGTTCAAAACCTTTCAATCACTGTAATCTTCTCTTTTCTTATAGAACAAATGAGATTCAGATATTCAGTCATTTTTCATCATGTTTAAGATATTAATGAACCATCTTTCAAATACATATCTTTTTTTCTATTTTTACCTGCATAACCTCATATTCCCCAGGTTGTTAGGTTATTTTTTTGCTGTACAGGTTCAGAGCATATTTTGTTGCTAATACTTTCCTCTTTAATTAGGAAATATGATAGTGGAATTGACACCATATTATTTAAGGTTTCAGTTATTAGTCATTGAAAGAATTTTAGAGCCTGTTTTCCTACTATTCAAGAACTGTCCTACCTAAGAATCTGTATAATTACCCCTTCATATCGTCTATTCATTTAGTTAAAAAATCATGTTAAAAAGTTTTTATATTTAATTATTTATGTTTTTGCTTTATGTGTATGAATGTTTTGTCTACTTGCATGTGAGTACACCCATGTTGTGCAAAGACACCTGAGGCCAGAAGAGGGTGTCAGATCCCCTATAAATGGAGGTATGAAAGGTTGTTAACCACCAGATCGGTGCCGGTATTTGGACCCAGGTCCTCTTGAAGAGCAGTCAGTGCTGAGCCATACCTCCACCCCCAAGTTTGTATATTTTTATTATGGATAATACCACTTTTTATTTCATACTTTTCTAAAATTTTTGGATTATTTTCTTAAAATAATGTTTTTATTGTTTCTTTGAGAATTTCATACATTTTTATCATATTCAGTAACCCTTCCTCGTTTACTCTCAAATACACCTTTATCTCTCTATCCCCAACCACTCATGTCCTTTGTCAATTTTAAAGGCCCGTTGAGTCCAATTTTTTTTTCCCACATGCTCTTCATTAAGGATTCCTTCCCCAGATCCTGGTCAAAAGACCACAGTAGATTTTCATAACACACTAACAGACACAATACTTTTTTTCCACACATAATTGTTTATGGAAAAATATACATAATAGAGTTTAACTTTCTGTAACCATTCTAGCTTATTATTAAGATTGACACTTTACATAGACATATAAATTTTCACTAGAATGTTGAAATATTTAAAACACATTATAAATGAAAAACATGCCCATGATTTCATTTTTAAGTATTTTTAAATTTAATTTTTTAGCGATATATTTGTGTAAGTCTGGGTGTGTATTGGACAGGGATCAGAAAAGAGTGTTGGATCCCTTGGAACTGGAGTAACAGGTAGTTGTGAGAAGCCCTATGTGGTTGTGAGTGCCTGAGTGCCCAGGAGAGGGTATGAGATGCCTGGAGATTCTGCTGCAGATGTTTTTTACTTGATATGGGTGTTGACAACCGAACCCAGGTACTCTGGAGGTTTTGTCTTTCCACAATGTAAGAATTTATTCAATAACAATACATTAGCAGTCTACACCAATTTCATTAACTATTTCTACCTATGTTTTCATGTATTTATTTGCTTTTCTTTTGTTAAACATTTTCAATGGTTTTATAAATGAATATTTTATTTGCATTATTTCTATTCCTCCAAGTCCCCCAATTCTTCCTATGTCCCCCCTTCACAATTTCCTCTCTGCTTTACTTTTGTAATACATACAATTATACATACATACATACACACACACACACACACATATTGAATTCAGTCCATTTAGTGGTACCCATGTGTGAATGTGTTTAGGACTTTCTAAGACTGAACTCCATCCCATTTTTAAACAATTTTTAAAAGAATATGTTTCAGCTTTTAAAAGCATTTTCACCTTCCAAATTAATAAACCGATCAATGGAGTGATTTCTGTCATATTAATCAATATTTCTGCTCTAATGAACATAAGGATATATCGATGGAAGGATATTTATTTTCTTTAGTGTATTTGTTGCTATTTCAGTATAAGTTTGTTTAAAATCAGTCTCAGGTTTCCAAAGCTATAACCAAGATGGAGTTGAGTTTAGATTCTCATCCACAATATTATTGAATTTTTGCTGCTTCTTTCACATCCTTATTCCTCAGGTTATAAATCAGTGAGTTTATCATAGGAATGACCAATGTGTAAATCACTGCAGAGATCTTCTGTTCCAGAGAATATTGATAACTTGTCTGGATATAGCTAAAAGTTCCAGACCCATAGAGTAAAGACACAGCAGTCATATGTGAGACACATGTAGAGAATGTTTTGCATCTTCCTTCAGCTGAGCAGATTCTCATGATTGCATTGATGACACAGATATAAGGGACCATGATGATGTTGAAAGTGAACACTGCAAACACTCCAGAGAAGATCAAGAGCAACATCTCATTGGTATGTGCATCAGAATATGAGCACTTCAAAAGTGGAGGGATGTCACACAAGTAATAATTCACAATGTTTGTCTCACAGAAGTCCAGTCTAAGCAAACCTATTGTGTGTGTCAGGGAATTAATGAGCCCAGCTACATAACATCCAAGGACCACCTGCATGCAGACATTTTGGGTCACAATGACTCTATACAACAAGGGGTTTGCAATGGCCGCATAGTGGTCATAAGCCATTATAGAAAGGAAGAAGCTATCTGTGGTTCCATACACTA